TTAGTTCCCCAACCAGGGATCGAACTCCTGCCCCCACCTAAGTGGAAGCATGGAGTCTTAACCATTGGACCGCCAGGGAAGTCCTTATTCATTTATTTATTTTTTACATTAGAAAATTAAACAGGAGGAAGATAAGGGCTCATTTCTTTTTTTTTTTTTTAATATTTATTTATTTATTTGGCTGCACTGGGTCTTAGCTGTGGCACATGGGATCTTCATGGTGGCATGCGGGATCTTTATTTGCAGCATGTGAACTCTTAGTTGCAGCACGCGGGATCTAGTTCCCTGACCAGGGATCGAACCTGAGCCCCCTGCATTGGGAGCACAGAGTCTCAGCCACTGGACCACCAGGGAAGTCCCAAGACCTCAGTTCTGTTTGATAGACAACACTGTGATTATTAACAGTGATGGGCATTTATGAGAACACTCCAAACTTGGCCAGCCTGTGAATACTAGCATGGTTACAGTTAACTGAAATATATATAATGTATAATATATGCATATAGTAGAAACATGTCTGCTATGTAGTGGGGGGCTCAGTAAATGATAGCTATTATTATTGGTGCTATGATTTCTATTAATGCCCAAAGTATGATGATTCTTAGCCAGTACGTGGTCTCTCAGGCCCTCAGCTCCTCTAAACCAGGGGTCCCCAACCCCTGGGCCATGGACCGGTACTGGTCTGTGGCCTGTTAGGAACCGGGCTGCACAGCAGGAGATGAGCAGCAGGCAAATGAGTGAAGCTTCATCTGTATTTACAGCCGCTCCCCATTGCTTGCATTACCACCTGAACTCTGCCTTCTGTCAGCATTATGGTGAGTTGTATAATTATTTCATTGTATATTACAATGTAATAATAATAGAAATAAAGTGTACAATAAATGTAATGTGCTTGAATCATCCCAGCACCATCTCCTCTCCCCAACCCGGCCCCGTCAGTGGAAAAATTGTCTTCCATGAAACTGGTCCCTGGTGCCGAAAAGGTTGGGGACCGCTGCTCTAAACCATGGTTTTCCAACTATATGGGTCATTTGCAGTTTGGTGGTCTCTCAAAACAGTTTATTCTTCCCTGTGGAGGCGCTCTACACAAGCTCTTTGCTGCTAATGCTCTCTACACACAGCTTTGCTTTGCTGGTGGCTGCCCTGAGACCTCAGAGTACCAAAGCTGTACTTAGGCTGGAGGGCATCATGGTAGAAGTGTCATCTGGGCTCCAGCATGACACTGCCTTATGCCCAGAATCTTGTAAATGTCTTTATTATTAATACGCTCCTCTATCTTTTGGCCCTAATGCCCTCTTTTCAGAGAGGCTCAAGGCAACAGGAGTGTAAGGGAGCCTGTATGCCATGCTCCCTTCAGTAGGCAGAATAATGACCCTTCCTCCCCGCCAAGATGTCCACACCATATACTTGGAACCTGTGAATATGTTACCTTACATGGTAAAGGGCCTTTGCAGATGTGATTGAGTTCAGGATCTTGAGATGGGGAGATTATCTTGGATTATCTGAATGAGCCAATGTCATCACATGAGTTCTTTTAAGTGAAGGAGGGAGACAAGAGGCTAACAGAGAGAGTGATAGAGAGTTAAATGGAAGAGAGAGAGAGAGAGAGAGAGAGACAATTAATGCTGTGTTGCTGACTTTGAAGGTGGAAGGGAACCCTGAGCCAAGAAATGAAGGTGGCCTCTAGAGGCTGGAAAAGGCAAGGTAACAGATTCTCTCCTAGAGTCTCCAGAAGAATTGCACCTCTGCCAACTCCTAGAGTTTTAGCCCAATAAGACCTATTTTGGAATTCTGACCTCCAGAACTCTAAGATCATACATTTGTGTTGTTATAAGCCATTAAGTTTGTGGTAATTTGTTATATCAGCAATAGCAAACTCATACACTCCCCTCCTCCTATTTCTATTGCTTCCTTCCTATTTCTCTTTCCAGGGTTCCTTTAAATCTCTTTCCTCTTTTATTTTTTTTTTTTAAGCCTGAACTTGAAAGTTCCCAAGTTAATTAAGACCATTAGGAGGGGCTACAAATTCCACAGTTAGGAAGTCTCCACTGCTACTCTGCTCAATTGTTCCATTTGCTCTTTTGTAAATTATTTATGTTCTTTGCCCCGCTGATGACTCTTAATGTCATAAGAGTATAGATCTATAGTGCCACTCGAAGATTCCACAATGAACCATACTCTCTCATGTAACCATCCATCCAGTCATTCATACAAGAAATATTTACTGGAGACTTCCACGTGCCAGGCTTTGAGCTAGTATTGGGATATAAAGATGGAAGTGCACCATCTGTGCTTCCACAGAGACCATAGGTGTTGGGTTTTTATACTTGAGAACAATATGCATAGTTCTTTTTGTTTGTTTGTTTTTTGTTTTTCTTTTGTTTTTGGTCCTGCAGGTGTTGTAAGATTTGTTTCTTTCCCGAAAGCAGTTGGGTATGTGGAGCCTCTTTGACTAAGTAACAAGCGAGAGGAACCGTATCCTTGTTCTGTTGTGTCTTCCAGTTTGTTTTCAGACCCAGACAAAAGTTAATGTGTTTGGTGATAGATAAACATGAATGAAAAATGGTGTAGCCCAGTTCATCTTTATTTAGGCTAATTTCTCCCCTCTCTTTATCCTCTTCAGTGCTGCTTTCCTGCCTGTGATGCAGGGAGCTAAGGTTCCAATTAAATCTTTGTGGACAAAAGGTACACATGACATCCCCAGATAACAGGTGGCGATAAATCCATCAGCACATCCACTTTCAGAGAAGGGTCCCGGCTGAACTGCTAACAGCTGCCAGTACCTCATTGAGTACCTTGTACAAGGTGAGCTCTAAGGTAAGATGTTTTTCTCTCTGGACACTTTTAATCCTTCCTTGTAATTTGCGTCTCTCAAAAGAGAATTATGCCTTTAAAGTTTACTACTGATTTGTTGACAGATTCCTGGTTTTGTTTGGTTTGTTGTTTTGGTTTGGTTTTGTTTGCTTGAATATTTTTGGTCTGTCCTCAGAGAACTTATTTTATTCCATTTTACATCTTTTAGTTTTCCATTGCTTTTCTTTTAATCTCTTCTTATATTCTTATGTGTGCATTTCTTATATATCCTAACTCAGTTTGTATTTAGATATAGCTTTTCCTTATATACAGAGAAATGAAGGGTCTTAAATGATTTGCATGCATTTTCTGGTTAAAACTGATCTGGAAGTTTGGTTCCATGGGCACCCCTTGGTCACTTGCAACTATAGTGTGGATGGTGTCCTTCTTCCAGCCCTTGCCTTAGAACAGAGTAGCTCAGTGCTAGGATACTTCCAACATTTGAGGCTGATATTGAACCCCAAAGATAATCATTTAAAAGTATTTAGTTTCTGTATTATGAAAGTAGTTAATTATAGAATAATTATAGACTAACTCAAAATTACAGAAAAGGAAAAAGAAGATAATTTGTCATTGATTATAATAGCTGACACTTGTGAGCGTACCTTTCTAGTCTAGTCTTTTAAAATGGTGCACATATATTTATTTCTTATATAATTGAGGTCAAGCTGTAGATACAATCTAATATCATTTTTTCTTAGCATATTAAGAGTATTTTCTAAGTCATCAAAATTATTTGAAAACATTGTTTTTAAGAGCTACTTATGTTCCACCATTAAAATGTATCATTTTTATGATACATTTAAAATGTATCACTAACATAAATAATTCAACAGTTATTAATTTTACACATAAATCTTTGGCTGCATTTCTGATTATTTCCTTAAGATAGGCTCCAAATCAAAGGGTATACATTTTTTAGAGCCTGATATGTTTCATGACAGTAATCTATTTTAAACTTTATAAGATTGGAATTGTTGATACTACAACAGAAACAACATAAAAGAAAATGAAATTCTTCCCAGCAACTGTTATTACCTGAAGTTTAACAAATTACTCTGACTTAATGCTGACTAATGACATGAAATCCTAAGTAGAAAACGAATCATCAAAGTTAGTATTTTACTTACACAGAGTAGCACACCTTTCTAAGCAGGGATTTATAGCTTAAACAAAAGAATAGGTGTGTTTCTAGTACCATAGAGCAAGGGAAGATGGTGGGGAACATTCCTGCAAGTTAAAAAAAAAACCTGGGATTTTGTTCTAGTTTGACACTGATTGTGGGACCTGAGACACATCTCCTAGCTTCTTGAATCTCAGAGTTCTCATCTGTGAGATGAAAGGCTTGGTCTAGGTCAATGTTTCTCAGTGGGCAGGGCAGGTAACACTTGTGGCACATGGGCTATTTTGGGGTGGTACATAGACATAGACAACATGGTTATTTTTTTGGCATGGCACATGAAGTTATCTTTTTAAATGATAGTATTTCAGTTTTTAAAAAGAGTGGATTTAGAGGAAAAGATTAAGTAAATAACAATACAGGTAGTCCTCAGATATGACATAAACTACTGAGGTGATGGGCATATGTCTGATGTTTGAGAAATATAGAGCTAGGTGATCTCTGTAGAACTTGCTTAATGTGTGAGGTAGAATTTCAGATATAAAAAGCCTGTCAGCAATGCTTCCTTGGAAGGCATTCTGTGAACGAGGTAGAGTTATTCAGATGTATAAGAAGTAACAGAGACACAGGCATGGAAAAGGTTCAGATACCATCCTATCACTGGGAGTTTGGGGTTAGCAGATGCAAACTAGTATATATAGGATGGATAAACAACAAGGTCCTACTGTATAGCACAGGGAACTATATGCCATATCCTGTGATAAACCATAATGGAAAAGAAAATGAAAAGGAATATATATGTGTGTGTACCTGAATCACTGTGCTGTACAGCAGAAATCAACAGAACATTGTAAATTAACTATACTTCCATAAAATATAGACAAACAAACAAACAAACAAAAAGACCATCCTATCACTTGCAACTCTTTGTACTTCTCATTTTAATAGTGAGTTTCACTTGTCTGGGCAGAATTTCTCCCAGATCCTCCCTAAAAACCTGGCAGAGGAGCCACCCCTGGCACCCTCACCATGCTCAGGGCAGTTTTGGACGCTCCTCAGTGGTTGCTGAAGAAGGGGAGAGAGTCCCGGAAGCTGGTGTTACTGGTGGTGTTTGTCGCTCTACTCCTGGACAACATGCTGCTCACTGTGGTGGGTACGTTTGGGGGGGCTTGGCGCTGGGGTTTAATTTGCTCTGGTTCCCAGAGGACAGCACATACCCTGTTAGAATTCAGTAGTGAATGGACTGGAGAATTTTTCTTTTTGTGCTTGAAAACACAAAGATTGCTGGGGATTAGAAGAAATGGCAGGAAATGGAGTCTGAAGCTTGCCAACCTTTGCTGAAAGACCCCAGAGGTTCAAAGAGAAGGAGGTTCAGAGAGCATCTGACCGAATCAAAGGGGCTGACCCGGAGCCAGAACTGGCAATACTTTTCTTCCTCCCCATACTCTCTTCCTAAGGCGCTAACGACTCCAAATGCCCTCTGGGATTGTGAGCACCTTCTCACCATGTTGCCTTTGTCTGCTCTGTCAAAATAACAACACTTTATATGGATATCCAACTTCTTATCAAAACCTACCTTTCCTGTGGTTCATTCCCTCTCAGTCCTTCTTTTTTAGTTGGTAGTCTATTCATTTTTACATTCAGTTGTTCTGGTATATAAATGGGTGCCAACATGTTTCCGCTTCTGGGTAAAATATATGCTTTTAAACAAGAATCTTCCTGAAACAAATTATAAATTCAAAACAGTCAGTTCTTATTGTTCATGGTGTTATCCTCTATAAATTTTCTGTGAACACTGGATTTAGTCTATACTAAATAATTTCTCCTCGGGGAAATACACACACACACACACACACACACACACACACACACATGACCCCCCGCCCCCCCCATACATATGTGTGTGTGTGTGTGTACACCGTATAGATTATAATCTTAAATCTTAAAAACAACACATCCTGGTAGATTGTATTTTCTTTACAAAAGAGAAAACGAACTTCAGAGGTGTTAAGTGACTTGCCTGAGGCGACCCCACTAACAGGTGCTGAGCTGGGATTCAGGCTGTGCCCAACTGGCCCCAGAGCTGGAGTTCCTTGCACCTCGCTGCCCTTCCCTGCCCCATGCTCTGCATCTCTGTGTGAGAGTGAAAGAAGAAGGCAGAGCCCACCTTGTTCAACCTCAGCTGCAAAAGTGAGCATCTGGTGACTCTGTTTTCCATACCTTCTGCATGTACGTCTGAGAAAACCCACGATGGCTTTGTGAGCATTGATTTTTGTGATTACAAACGTTGGCCAGTAGATGAATTAGCCAATATGGAATCCATGAATAATGAGGACCAACTGTATGATGGTTGGAATTCAGGTACTTGAGCTAATAGGATAACTTGGGCAGGCGCAGTCTTTGAGTAGGCTTCAGGTCATGTCACTTAGACGCCTTCCTGAGCATGAGTCTGGACCTCATGGTAATGTCCCTGAACTGACTAGCAGTCAGAAGACAGTCTGTCCTTAGCCCTCATTACTTGTTCTTCTTAACTTTCAGTGCCCATTGTGCCCACCTACCTATATGCCACAGAGTTCAAAGTCAACACTTCTGTGTACCCTGGGCCCACCACAGCTTCCCAGCCTGCCCTCACTTCTGCCTTTTCCACCATCTTCTCCTTCTTTGAAAACAACACCTTGGCTATCGAAAAAAGTGTGCCCAGTGGCATAGCATGGACAAGTGACACTCCCGGCACCATCCCCCCTCCGGTCACCGAAGCCATCCCAGCCCATGAAAACAACTGCTTTCAAGGCACAGAGTTCTTGAAGGAAGAGAACCTATGGGTTGGGCTTCTGTTTGCTTCCAAGGCTCTGATGCAACTTCTGGTCAACCCATTCGTGGGGCCTCTCACCAACAGGTATCTCAATGGGTACAGTGCCCCACAGGGTACTCAGGGGCTCAGAAATAAGAGAATGGGCTGAGGTATCATAAAGGTGATTAGAAGGGATAAAGAAGGGAAAACTCACTTGTCTGCACCCCAGGGTGATCAGCTGTTTGGGAAAGATAACATGATATTGATAAAATGACTTGGGCTTCAGATTTTCTTAGTGATGTAATGACTACTGAGTACCAAGAAGAGAACCAGGGAACAGAAGTATACTACTGGTATTATTTCAGTGCCCTGGAACATGGTTTGAATGGGGTAAGGGTAGAAACAGGACAGGCCTCTTGCAGGATAGAGCACTGGCTGCTTAGTGCTTGTGTTTGGGATTATCCTCATGTTTCAGAAAGATATGCCTTCTGACTAGGTTATTTATCTTTTCTGGAAAAGAGGATTTGGGCCCTGGCCAACAGATAAATTTGCATGTTTGTTTATATGCATTCACATGTCATATTCCATATCTATACCTGCATTCGGAGACATGTTTTGCCATGCACTCAAATAACTGCATTTTTGTTCCCAATTACATGAAAAAATATAGTGCAAGTGTACAGATGCCTATTGGAATTGTATCTTTTTTTTAAATTCCCTTTTAGGATTGGATATCACATTCCCATGTTTGCTGGCTTTGTTATCATGTTTATCTCCACAGTTAGTAAGTAATTTTCTACCTCTTTTCTTCACTTCATTGATTAACTTTGATTTTATCACATGCATTACCAGGAAGAGAGCAAGGTCCAGTTAGCTAATTAGTCATCTGACTAAGTGACCTATGACACTGATTTAAATGATTTACAGTTTTCGTTATGGGGACTAGAGCAGTAGAGGCAACTCAGTCTAGTTGGCATTTGTATACCATATGCTATAAAAGAACAGATACGTCACTTCCTTCAGCTTGGGAAAATCGTGAAGGCTGTTTTAATTTGTATGCTATAATGTGTATGTGTGTATCTATCAGTAATCCCTCGAATGAGTTTAGTACAAACCTCCCATCTTTTTTTTTAAAATAAATTTATTTATTTATTTTTGGCTGCATCGGGTCTTTGTTGCTGCGCGCAGGCTTTCTCTAGTTGCGGAGGGCTGGGGCTCTACTCTTTGCTGTGGTGCGCAGACACTGCGGTGTCTTCTCTTGTTGTGCAGCATGGTCTCTAGGCACAGGGGCTTCAGTAATTGTGGCACACGGGCTCAGTAGTTGTGGCTCACGGGCTCTAGAGAGCAGGCTCAGTAGTTGTGGCGCACCGGCTTAGTTGCTCCGTGGCGTGTGGGATCTTCCTGGACCAGGGCTGGAACCCGTGTCTCCTGCATTGGCAGGCAGATTCTTAACCACTGCACCACCAGGGAAGCCCCAAACCTCCCATCTTTGAGAAGAGGTCATCGTATTTTGATATGTAAAGGTAAAAGGCAACTAACAAAGAATCTAAATTGGGCAGTAGCAACTGGAAAATTCCATAAAAGTTCACTCCATTCAAGGAAGGCCATTAAAGTTTATAGCTTTGGAAAATAAATTTGCTAAGGAAACAAGAAAGAGAAAGACAAATAGTCTACCCAGTATCAGATAACTGTTCCCAATAAAATAAAGATGGAATAAGAACAGTAAGTGAAATAAAATACATCTGGAAATTGACCCTGAGAAAATAAGAAAAAAATGAATGTGGAGTGGTGAGGGAGAGTTTAATAAATGGGAAGGCATCCTGCTGCCTCTGCTGCCTCTCTGCTCCGAATAACATACCTTCTCCCTCTTGCTTTTCTTATTACCTTTCTGTTACTTTTCTACTTTTTCTATTGCTCTTTCTCAAATTTTCTTCCCTTCCAGCATAGGACTTGACTCCTGTCAACCAATACTGAACAGGAATTTGTTGCATTCAGGGCTGGGAGGTGCAAAGTGCAGGAGCTCAATGTGTGAAGTTCTGTCTGAGAACTTCAGCTTACTTGTGACATTCTAGCTGAATCAAAGAAAATGAAGAAATTAAAGTTAGAAATCTTTATTTTTGAACTTCTAGGAGCTCAGCCTATGCCAAACAGTAAATTAAAAACTAATAAGACGCTCTATTTCATCAAATGAGGCATAGTTCATTTCACAGAATTTTATGGTACACACACATGATGCCTTGATGGTGACGGTGAAAAGTCACTGAGGGAACATAAAGAATGAAAAGACATGGCTCTGTCTACCCAGGAGTTCTTAATGCTTGCCTGGGAGCCATGACAAACACCCTGCAAAATAAGATAATGCAGTGTCCTAGTGGATCCCAAACTTTTTAGCATAAGGTCTTTTCCTGATTCTCTGTCAAGAACTGATTTTTTTTTTAACATTATATTTTTAAATTTATTTATTTATTTTCGGCTGTGTTGGGTCTTTGTTGTTGCGCACAGGCTTTCTCTAGTTGCGGTCAGGGGGGCTACTCTTCATTGCGGTGCACAGACTTCTCATTGCAGTGGCTTCTCTTGTGGAGCATGGGCTCTAGGCATGCGGGCTTCAGTAGTTGTGGCACGTGGGTTCAGTAGTGTGGCTCGTGGGCTCTAGAGCACAGGCTCATTAGTTGTGGCACACGGGCTTAGTTCTCCATGGCATGTAGGATCTACCCAGACAAGGGATCGAACCCGTGTCCCTTGCATTAGCAGGCAGATTCTTAACCACTGTGCCACCAGGGAAGTCCAAGAACTCATGTTTTGAAAGCTTTTCTTATCTACTGAACTGTATATATTAAATAATAATTATCGTTTCCATGCCATAATTAGTGTTGCTATACTGAGTTAGCCTAACTCTAGCAAACGTTTGATGTTTAGGGGATCCTATGTAGCATTCCTTCAGGGTTTTTAAATACGAAAATGAGGTTGCTGATACCTATCACTCCCCCGAAGGGCCCCCAGCTGGGAAACATCCTTAATGTAATTAGGAGCTAAATGGTGGCCCATTTTGGGGCACAAAGTGAAAAAGAAATTACTTTGGTCTTCCTAAATAGGGGGATCAACCATCCTAGTTTGCCTGGGATTGAGGGGTTTCCTGGGATGTGAGACTTTTGATTTTAAAACCAGAAAGGTCCTGGGCCAACAGAGATGAGTTGGTCACACCATTCTCAAAGGACATAGGAGTAGCAGACCTTGAACAGAGTGGAAATCAGGAAGCCTGGGAGAATGCATTGGAGGCCTGGCCAGGAGAGACCAATCATTTGCATGTTTGGGAGATGGTGTGCTCATGTCGGGAAGTAATGGGAGAAGGTTATAAACACAACCAAAGACATCTAATGAATGGGCAAAGGGATTCAGATTATGCTGATTCAGACACTTTGGGAGGGAGTCTTCTCACTTTCTGTGGTGGTGTCCTGGAATTGGAGATGAGACATGTCTGGACCCACCAACCTTACTACCAATGCCCTGTAATTTAGTTGTTGATAACATGTTCCTTTTTGGTTCTCAGTTTTGTGTATGTTAGTCTCTAGTAGACTGAATCTCTTCAAGGGCATGAACTGGATATTCTCTTTATCTCACATCTGCTACAGAGTACAGCACAGCTGCCTGGTCAGTATTACTTAATAAATACTCACTGATCTGATTTGGCTAAAAGATCCTCCAATATAAGGGGAAGGATCTGATTGGATTACAAGATATTATTTTCTACACAGTACCAATGGTCCTTCAAGTACACATAGCTTTTGTCCCACACTCCAGGTGACCCAATGGGACCCAACAATGGCCAAGATCAAATCTGGGTATTGCAGAAGTAGGGTCCAGGGACCAGTTCTCAGCCCAGGGCATTGGGTTTCATGCACAGCCCTGACTCCAGTGGACAGGATGTTGGGTTTTAAGCAGGAAATGTGGACACTCAGCCTTCCATCCACTGTGTGGTGAATCAGTTTATGCTTTGGTTTTTCTGTCTTCATGCCAATTAAAATGCAATCCTAATTAAGGGGGAAGGATTAGAAAGACAACTCTGAAAACAGGGAGCAGTGATCATGCTTTATTAAAACATAAGCATAATGGCTCATGTCTATAGTATCATGAGTCCATTTTCTGGTGGCCAGGGAATCAAAGGCATTTTTGCTAACTGGAGCACTCTTGCTATTCTCTTTGCCCAGTGTTTGCTTTTTCTGGTACCTATACCCTGCTCTTTGTGGCCCGAACTCTTCAAGGCATTGGATCTTCATTTTCATCTGTTGCAGGTAACGCCAACATCTTCACACACACACACACACACACACACACACACACACACACACCCACACACACACACACACCCACACACACACACACACCCACACACACACACACACCCACACACACACACACACCCACACACACACACACACCCACACACACACACACACCCACACACACACACACACCCACACACACACACACACCCACACACACACACACACCCACACACACACACACACCCACACACACACACACACCCACACACACACACACACCCACACACACACACACACCCACACACACACACACACCCACACACACACACACACCCACACACACACACACACCCACACACACACACACACCCACACACACACACACACCCACACACACACACACACCCACACACACACACACACCCACACACACACACACACCCACACACACACACACACACACACACACACACACACACACACATCTCTCACCATCTCTTACTACCATCAGACCCTATAAGATTTATATGAAGAAATTAAGGAAAATATCATCATAGTTGTGATTGTTGCAGAAATTGTGATATGTATCTCTGCATAGTTGCAGAAATTGTGATTTAAAAACAAGATGATTGTAGAGTTGCTGGTAGTGCCTATAGATCCCTAAGCGTGACATAATTTTCTTTGATATTTAGATGCTGCTAGCTCAGGTCAGACCAAGCCCAGGGTAAAATTGTGAAGTATGCCAGGTTTTTATTTAATGCCACTCTATGGTCTTTTCTCTGTCCCCCTCTTACCATTTTATAGAAGTAGTAAAGTTAATACCATCACAGTTTGCAAAATACTATCAAATACAATATTTAATGTAACCCTATGAAGCAGAGACTTTATGCCATTTTACACATGAGTAAATGGGCATAAGAGCCCAGCCCACACTCTCTCCCAAGTGCTTTCATACTCTTCCTTGGGCATCCCCATCGAATAGAGCAGTGCTCTGTGTCCATAGGTTTTTCCCTTCCTTGACCTACTCCATATCCATGGATTCAGGGAAATGTACTAGGAAATGATAAAATAATATGAAATGCAGGATCACTGGACAGTGGTATTCTGCATTACCCTTCCCAGAGACCTTTGCACTTCTAATGATATTCTGAACAGAAGGAGTGAGCAAGGTGGGCATTTGGGGGACCTGTGAGTGGCAGTATTTGCAAAATACTACGGGTTAGGTTCTATAAAACCCCCAAAACTGAAACTCTAGCTAAGACGACCCCTGAAGATAAAATAGGGGCAAGATCAAGGACTCAGTGAGAGAGGCAGAGACTAGGCTAATTCTACCTGCCTCTCTCCTTTCAGGTCTTGGGATGCTGGCAAGTGTCTACACTGATGACTGTGAGAGAGGGAAGGCCATGGGAATTGCCTTGGGGGGCCTGGCCTTGGGAGTGCTAGGTAAGTGGCACTGGCCCCAGGTCTGGGTTCAGGAGGATGAGCTACAGCAGACTCTCCGGAGACAGCCCCAGGAGGCAGGTGTTTCTAAGGTCATGGACGACAGCATTTTTCTTCCTTCTCTGTCCAACCATGTTTTGAGTCCTTCTGAAATTCTGCCCAGGAAAAGCAGAATCTCTTTCCCCTTGGGGAGCTGAACAGCCCATAAGGGCCTAGGAATGGTCCAGAAACCTACTCTATTCAAAGGAGTGAATATCTGCGTGTTAGTAGCTACCTCCTTACCTCTGCTTCCGTACATAGCCAGTGCTTTCAACATGAGAACATGCTCTTTGTCAGGTTCTGTGCTAAATACATACATAATCTCTTTTATTCCTCACTACCACACTGTAAAAGAGAAATGATCATCCCCATTACACAGATGAGGATAAGAAACATTCATAGCCATCCAAGGTCACATGGCCAGGAAATGCCAGAGCAAGGATACAGACTCAGATTTTCTGAGATCGAATCCCAAGCTCCGAACCATAAGCTTATACTTTCTTTGAGGTTCATTCAAAGTCTGGTTTAATTGACTAGTCCAACAAGTCACAAACTTTTACTGAGTACGTACTGTGTGCCAAGCACAATGTTGGCACAGAGGGGATATAGGTCAGACGCCTCAGACATGCTTCCTGCCCTCTAGGAATTTTCTAGCTAATTGAGAAGAAAACACCAAAAATCTCTTCCCTGGCCTATATCCTGCTCTCTACCACCACAGTGAGGAGAGGGAAGCAAAGCCCTGCTCTTTGTTAGTATCTACCTCCCCAAACACTCAAGCTAACACTTTGGTGCATCCTTGTCTCCTTTATCACCTCTCACTCCCAAATGAATAAGCCTATTATACCCTCCTCAGCCACTTGCTCAAAGCCAGCACCTCATCACGTCTCAGTTGGGACAAGGCACCAGCCTCCTGCCTGATCTGCACGTTACCTCCTTCCTCCAAGGTGCCACCAGGAGAAGCTTCCTATGACCAGAGCTGGTGTTTCTTCCCTGCCAAAAAGCACTGGTCTTTCTCCCTAGCCCACAAGGCCAAGTACATGCTTTATCTGGATATACAGGGCCCTTGGCTATTTGGTCTCAACCTTCCCCACCTCTTCTCATCTCCCAAATACTCCTATTCTAGTAACAGGGACTTTCTTCTGTTTCTGCTCTATCTACACTCTCTTTTCTGACACCTCTGTGTTCTTCACACATGCTTCTTCCCCACAAGTATTACCCAGTTGACAAAGCCCCCGTGGCCACCTGAACTCACTCTACTGTGATTATGTAACATTTTGTGGATGGAACATTTGCTTTTCACCATGTTATAATTATTTGGGTCCCCCCACGCCCACACACACATTTCTTCCACTAAAAAGTGAGCCCCTTGGAAGTAGGTCTTCTTCATCTCTGAATCCTCAAAACCTCGTGTCCTCATGTGGAGCTCAGCCCCTAGCAGGCCATCAAGAAATGCTCACTGGGTATAGGAGGACAAGTCATGCTGGCTGGAAATCAGCCCCCCATCTCTGGAATCCATGCCTGTTTTGCTTTTCTAGTGGGAGCTCCGTTTGGAAGTGTGACATATGTATTTTGGGGGAAGATTGTACCCTTCCTCATCTTGGCCTTCCTGGCACTACTGGATGGAGGTAAGTCACCATAAGAAGCCACCAGGCAGGCGAGAGCCCAGGTCAGCTTGGGAATGCATTATGCTATGGTGTCCGTGTTGACATATTTGGGTGGGTCAAGGACTGCCCCATCGTAAGAGAGAGGGAGGACGCTCAGGGAATTAGATCTGCAAGGGGTAGGGTGCTAACAATGTGGCTGTTATTGGATCCTCCAACTAATAAGTGGACACACTGAACTATTTCTCACTCCCTCTTCCTTTCTTAGCACTCCAGCTTTGCATCCTACAGCCTTCCAAAGTCTCTCCCGAGGTAAGTGGATACCAAGCTCCATTGCCAAAAGAGTGATAGAATGGATAAGTGCTGTGACCCAGGCCTGCCTAGACCATCCGTGTCAAACCATAAGAAGAAAGGGGGGTGGAGTTGGAGAAAGCAAGAACTGTACTGGATTCCCAATAGGGTCACGTTTAGGATAGCATGAGGGATGGGGAAGGAGTCTGCCTTGATGTTGGACCAAGATAGAGGAAGGGCCTTATAAAGAATCAAAGAAATCTTACTGAGTTATATATAATAACTCAGAACCAGGATGACAATAACATTGGGACCTGAGTATTTATAGTTATAATATCTCAGAGCTAAAGAAGACCTTGGAGCCATCCAAACAATCTCTGCCCCCAAAGCATACTTACAGACTGTCATTCTGTAGCAGTTAAATATCAGAGTTGGTATATGTCTGACTCTAAGACAGAGATGGCTCTGGGAAATCTATACCAAGTCATGAAGAAAGATAAGAGAATACAGACAATATGGGAATGTTTGATCTAAGGACCTTGATTTTGTAGCCAAGTCAGATGGTAGTGTTGGTATACTAAGGTCGCACTACTTGTGATTGGTGTCTGAAGTGGGGGCAATCTTGTGGGGTCTGTGCTAGCTCCAAGCAATTAGTTCCAGAATTGAATTAAACTTTAGGGACACCCAGTTGGTTCACAGAGAATTGGAGAATTGCTTGGTGTGAAAAAAGCCCACCCATTTGGTATCAGAAGTGTTATAAGTAGAGGAGTGATTTTCCTTTAGTACCTTTTTGAATAATTTTGATTTTTAGATGGTAATGTTCTATGTACTCAAAAAAGTAATTTTTTTTTCTGGCTGGAATACCAGTACTATATTTTATTCATTCTTCTATATTGGGGCATTTAGGTAGTTTCCAGTATTTTGCAGCTACAAATAGTGCTGCAATGAATAACCTTGTGTATAGGCATTATTATAGACTTGGAGGTAATCTTTAGAGTAAATTTCTAAAAGTGAAATTGTCAGGAATTCCCTGGCAGTCCAGTGGTTAAGACTCCACACTTTCACTGCCGAGGGCCCGGGTTCAATCCCTGGTCAGAGAACTAAGATCCCACAAGCCACATGGTGCAGCCAAAAACAAAAACAAATAAAAGTAAAATTGTTGGGTCAAAGGGTTTATTGGACTTCTTTATGTACATTTTATGATTTAGATCTGTCTCTTTACTTGAATTATATATGGGAGAGGGCATGATCTTTTTAGTTTTAGTCTCTCTGAATATTGCAATCCACCCTGTGTGGATGCAGAGAGGGTTATCATATCAAAACTATTAAATCTATTACAAGATAGAATGTGGTAAACACCAGAGATTAGGACACAGTACTCAGGAAATTTGAAAGAGAGAGAAGTTCCAGCTCCTGAGTCAGGGAACACTGGATAAGAAGGAGTCATTTAAGCTTGACCTTGATGAATGGGTGAGGTTTGGACCTATGCAAAGGAGGAGGAAGGGAGTTTAGGAAAACATAACCATGAAAACTGAGGGCCTGCTTGTATGCATGGAAGGAAGGTAGATGCTAAGTTTATCTGGAATGAAGTTTTTTGAGGGGGTGCGGGATGTTACAATTGGACATTTAGGCTGGCATTTTAATCTAGATGTTCAGGCTCCTTTGGCCACATCAGTCCAGTATGGCTCCACACGGTCAGAACAAAGCATTCAGAAAGCTTGAGCAGCTTTCTGAGTTGTTACCTCTAGGCTCACCTTTGGGGTTCAGCATTCTGCCTGTGGTCCCTCCTGGATGAATATTGGTGCTGGCAAGATCTAGTGGAGAGGCCCGAGGCCAGGAGTCCAGACACCTGTTGTCCACCGTTGGCCTTGCTGACAATCCACTCTGATCTGGTTGACGGTCATTCAAAGGCAGGAATCATGTCTGGAATATGTTGTCCTACTCTTTGTGACTGCCTTGCACACGGGGGCTGTGCAGCCACCAGCTCACTCTGTGACATTGGGCAAGTCACCTCCTCTTCTATGACGTGGGTGTCTGGTCTCTCCAGTAAGGGAGCTGACGTAGACAGTCTCTGAGGTCCTGCCTGCACGCTCTCAGATTCTGTGAAAACAGGAGAGATGTATACATGGTACAAATGGAAGTTTTTGTTGCCCATGTTCTTAGAGTGCCAAGGGGACTCCTCTCCTCACACTTGTCAGAGACCCTTTTATCCTGGTGGCTGCAGGTAAGCTGACATTGCCTCCCTTTGGGCTGGGAGAGTCTGAGCTTCAGGGCAGCCTTGGGGGCTCACTGAACCATCTCCCCAGGCTCCCTCTGCTTTGCCAACATGGGGGTGGCCATGCTCGAGCCCACACTGCCCATCTGGATGATGCAGACCATGTGTGCCCCTGAGTGGCAGCTAGGTAAGTGACCTTGGTCCCCAACTCGCTTGGGCAGAGATGCGTGCTATGGGCCCTTTCTCAGGTAGTCAGCAAGCATCCTCAGGGCCAGGTCTTCAGAGTCACAGAAGGACAGTGTGCTTCCTTCACAGAATTACCTTCCCTGCCCACACCTGTGAATCAAGCCTGATTTAGTGGGCAGTCCCTTCAAGAAGCAGGCCGAGGACCAGTTCTCTTGGGGTTACTTGAGAGGCTGCCTCCTGGGCTTGAAGTCCTAAAAATTTCTGTCCAATAAAACAAAACTCTCAACTTAAAAAAAAAAAAAAAAAACGGAGAAGAAGAAGAAAATGAGAAGCAGCTGAGAAGGGCAGGGTTGGGGGGTTGTTGATGGGTGACGGAGGGGCAACATACCTAGCTGGGTGGATGAATAACTTCTAGTCAAAAGACCTTGGGTTTTTATTTCTGCTCCATTGAGTTGCTGTGCACACTTGCGAAAATCACAACTTTCTGAGCCCCACGTTTCTCATCTCTAAAATGGACATCAGAATACTATCTAGTTCAGAGGGTAAATCTGAGGAACAGATGACATAATCTGTGGCAAAGCTTTGCATCCGTAGACTATTAACAAGGCACCACCGTTACCAACACTGATACGTTCTTCTTTCCCACTCCCTGCCCCCCAGATTACCCTTTTGCTATCTTTTTACCTCTAAAAAGGTGCTAATAGAGTATATTGTTCTGTGAGGGAGGCCTCTGGCCTCCCCTGCTCCATGGAGAGATGTCCTCATGACTCATCTGAGCTTAGAGAGCAGGCTCTGGACCTTTCCAGGAAGCCTGAGGAAAGGGGACAGAGAAGGTTACGTGCAAATGGCTCAGTCACTGCAGGGAGGAGAGGCTTAAGTGGCCAGAGGGGAAACTGACGAGAACCTGATACAGCTCAATATACAATGAAAGGCACTAAATCTAATTTTTTAGGGGACCAGGCTAAGCAAGGCTCCCAGCTGCACTCGTAGCCCTAAATTGAATTTTTCTGGGCTGCAGCTGCCTCTGACCATGACAGTTAATTGAGTTAGTTGGTGCTTGGTGCAAATAAACATCCCCTGCCTCAAGGCTCTAGCCACTCAGGCTCTTGGGGCAGAGGGGCAACCAACCTTGGCTCAGAACGGCCTCTCTCCAGCGCTTCTTCACCCCACAGAAATATTAAAAGCAAACCAACCATCAGCCAGTAACTGGTGAATTGCTGACTTTGGGTTTAATTGTAAACATCCTGACAGTTTCTGTTAGGCAGCACTGTTTCCTGTCAGGGTACAGAGAAGCAGAGAGAGGCTGGTGAGACACAAGGAAACTCACAGGCCTGATGCCACCCAGTGCCTTGTGCAGGCGAGGCTGCAGTAGAAAGCCCTCAGGAGAGTAAGTGAGAGACTGAGAAGGCCTTGTCCTCCGCCATCCCTTACAACTTTCCTCAGTGCCCTCTGCATCTGTAAGTCTAACTTCAAATGTTCTCACCTGGAGAGTGTGTTAAAATTCGGATTGCGAGGCCCCACCCAGCAGAAACAAGTTTGCATTCCTGGTGTGTTTCCCAGTGAGGCTGATATGGTGTCAGCGAGCACACTGAAAAATATTGCTTTCAATGCAGAACCCTCTCCAAGTTGTTGGGAGGAACAATTTGTAGTGTGTGACTGAACATTCTCCAAGTGGCCCGTTGTGTGCCCACTACTCTCACCCAGTGGAGGAAAGACCTCAGGCTTTGAAAACAAGCCCACCTGGGTTGAAATCCTGACCCAACCACTTACTGGTTGTGTCCTTGGATAAGTTACTTAACGTCTTCAAAGTCCATTTTTTTTCATTTGTAAAAATGGAGACACTTTTCTGGTTGTTTTCAGGGTTAAATAGATCTTTGTATTCTAAAGGCATTAGCACAGTGCCTGGAATAGAGGATATAGTCAGGAAATCACTTTGACAGTCACAGCTCTGTGTAATTTCCCACCCCTTGAAGATATGCTGTGAAATATATGTGTCTGTAGACGTATAGTCTGGAACACCTCTTTTGCACAAAATGCTACTGAATTGCAAGCTATACTCAGGTCCTAAAGAACAAGCCACACTGACTGAGGAAAATCTCATTCAGGAAATCCCACATCACTTAAAATGATGTCAAGGAGATGTATCTAGGAGGCCTGTGGGCTTCGTACAGGTGCCCATTTCCAGATACCAGGTAGACAATTGAGTAGCTATACTATTACATTTTTTTAAAGCAATTAAACAGAAACATACGGTTACAGTTTGAAACAGATTGCCACCTGTACAGATAGACTAGACAAACACACTAAGGTGTGTTTCACCTCCAGCCCCCAGAAGAGAATATTAAAAGCAAACAAGACCTCAGCCAGTAACTGGTGAATTGTTGACTTTGGGTTTAATTGTAATCATCATGACAGTTTCTATTAGGCAGCACTGTTTCCTCTCCATACAGAGAGGCAGAGAGAGCTGGTGAGACCCAAGGAAACTCACACCACTCATTCCATGCAGTTCTTTATGCCAGAGCCATCTGTGCTGCCACACTGCTGGTGGGTTGGTGGAAACACCTGGAGTTGGAGGGAGAAGGTCTGGGTTCAAGTCCTGACCCTGTTACTCCCTGGTTATGATGATAATAGTTAAGGCCGATGCTCAGAGAGCACTTATTCTGTGCCAGGCGCCTTGCAAAATGGTTGCTTTGCATTATCTCAATTAAGCCTTATAACCAGCCTGTCTGGTACCAATTATTATTATTCCCATATTTTAGAGATTTCTTAATCTGACCCAATTTCCCATTGCCCTCCCAAATCCTGGGTCTTGTGGAAGTCCCTGCCATCAACAAGCGTCCCTATGCCCTCAGCCTCTTTTCTCTGAACACTTCTTTCATCTTCTTGCCCTGAGACCTGAATGTTTTCTGAGAACACCATTTTCCCACAGCCTTCTTGATGGAAGTTCATGTTCCTTTAGGCTTTGCTTTCTTTCGCTGCTTCTGAATCATTTCTTCTTCATTCCCCTTCAAAGGCCCTGACTCCTTTGAAAATCGTGTCGTTAGATTATACCACCCCACCCTTCTTTATTGCAGTTATCTACTGACCCCTGAGTTATCCCTTCTCATTCACTAAATCCACCAACACCTGGCTCATATTCATTTCCCCTTTATTCCTGTCACCGCTTTTGGTGACTTCCATATCCAGGCGGATAACCTTACCAACATCTTGGCCTATTCCTTCATCTACTCTCTTGCAATGATCTTCTCCTCTCCACCTTAACCAATCAAACCTTTATATAATATTGACCTTGACCTCACCATTAATCGTAGCTTCTCTGAAATTTCACTTCCAAGCAGTGCAGTTATCACCTTACATATTCCCTGCTCAGGTATTCTAATACCCCTATATTAACACATTTTAGCTACACTGGGATCACCAGTCCATTCAATTATTTCTCTGTTTCCCTCACTACTCATGTCCTCTCTTCTTTCTTTACTCAGCTTGGAGTCCATCGTGATGAATCCACGTCCATCATTAATGTCACTCCTTTGAAAGCACTGTTAATTTCTTTGTCCCACCTGCTCCCTCTGGGGTTGTCACATGGGAAGCCTTAACTCTGGTTAAGCCTATCTGGTTGCCGACTCCTTGCATGCACCTGAGCAGTGAAATGGGGCTGTAGGAAAACACACACTAGGTAGGCTGTTGGTCTCACCTTATACTTACGGCCACAAATCTAAAGTGGGTTTTCACACTGTCCAACAATCTTTCTTTAAGTCCCTAGTTATGGTCTTCCTACTTTCCAAAAGGACTGGTTTACCCTTCTCCATTCAAACCTCCTACACACCCTCATCCCTTCACCTTCATCATCCTCAACTCCCAGTCATTGAGAAAATAGAAGCAACAAGAAGGGACCTTGCATGTTCTCATCACTACGTATACTTACTTCCCCGTACCTTTGCCTACATCCACTGCCTTCTCTTTATGGTTGGAACATCCCAGTTCCTTCAGAGGTCAAACTTCTTTTTTCTTTTCTTTTCTTCTTTTTCCTTCTGGATTCCATCTCCTCCTACTTCACTGGCTACTCCTTATCACCTTTGCTATCTCCTCCTCGTTTGTTAACTTTTAAAGGTAGGAGTCCCAGAAGGCTCAGTCCATAGATATCTATTCTTCTATCTCTGATCTTTCATGGGTGATCCCAGCCATTCCCATGGCTTTAAGAACTAATTGGTAAACCAATTAGTCGAACCCTTATGTCTGTGGGTAGGATCTCTCCTCGGAACTCAAGACTTGTCCACTCAATGGGCCTTCCTATTTGCATTAAGTGTTTTTGTTTGTTTGTTTGTTTTTCTTGCTAAAAACCTTCTGTTTTGGTTATTCAGTTCTCAGCTTAAATGTTACCTCCTCAAAGAAGCCTTCCCTGATCCCCTAAATCTAAGTTAGCCCTTATTCCTGGTCACTCTTCCATACTGCCACATTAAACTTTCTTCACAGAACTTATCACTTGTCAAAATTATCTTTTTCATTTATTTGTTTACTTGTTTATTGTCTATCTCCCTCCCTTGGAATGTAAGCTCCCTGGAAGCCAAGATTTTGTCTATTTTATTCACCCTTCTAATCCTGGTCCCTAGAATACCTGGTACATAGTAAAAACTCATTAAAAATGCTACATGAATGACTAAATGAAAGAACAAATCAATGATACTCAGAGAGGGTAAATCCTCCATGGTCACGGAGCTAAAAAGAGATCAAGCCACAGTTTGAACTCAGCACCAAAGCCCATGTTCCAGGGTACCTGACTCTACTGTCACAAAAAAGCAATGTGATAAGGGCTTCAGTTTACAAAATCCTTTTACATACATTTATCTAATTTGCTCCTTAGTGTAATTTGGTATGATAGAATCACAGCTTTGTTTTTAGGACTGTGCTTCCACTGCAGGGGGCATGGGTTCGATCCCTGGTCAGGGAACTAAGATCCCGCAAGCCTTGAGGTGTGGCCAAAAGAAAAAACAGTCACTGTCAGAGCAATAGAAGGGCAGGTAAATAACAAGGCAGGATTTTACTTCCTAGGAGGTATGTAAGTCTTTCTCTAAAGCTCATGCTCTTATGCTGATAATCACGGGTATTTTATACATGAGAATGGCTCATCAAAGCCATTCATCAGGAAGTCCAATAGGGGATCTAAAGACACGTTAAATGTGTTGAAGCTAAACACAGCCCTGCTCTTGAGGAAAGCAGAGTGTGGAGCCCTATGTCATCTGCTCTGGGTTTGCACAAGGATCTCCAACCCACAAAACAAAGTGGTTTGGGATCCTTGAAGGTAACAGGGGGACTTCACTGTCCTGTAAAAAACAAGGTGTTTTAGAGTAGCTGGGTACATTCTAAGGTAAGGGTCTGTGTCTTTCTACAGGTCTAGCTTTCTTGCCTGCCAGTGTGTCCTACCTCATTGGCACCAACCTCTTTGGCATGTTGGCCAACAAGATGGGTCGGTATGTAGCCTGGGGATCTGGGAAAAGTCAGATGGGAGAGTCTTCTGAGGTGTTCCCTGCACCTGGGATGATGAATAATAGCTTCTCTGAGGTTGAAACTTTAGAACAAGTACACACAGATAAAAACTGCCCACTGGGAGGATGGGGATGTGTAGATGGTAAGGGCAATATAGAGAAAGGATGTTCCTGAGCTGGCTGCTATAGAAGAGGCAGTGAATATATGAGAGACAACCTTTACTATCCAGATGTTTGTTGTCCAGTTGAAGAGATAAAATAATTCCACAGAGAACAGGTATGAAGAAAGCAGTACCTTGGGGCAGTGGTTGTCAAACTATATTCCGTGGACCCCCAGGGAGCTCTACAGGTGTGCCTTGGAGGCCACCAAGTGGAAAGGGTTGGGGGCTAAGAGGTATGAGTCTGGTTTCTGTCCCTCCACTACAGTGAGAACACCTTTAATTTTACCATTGGAGTTCAGCATAAAGATTTTAAAAATAAGTTTAAAAACCATTGCCATAGGAAATCAGAAAAGGAAAGAAGTTTGGTATGTTTTGTGGTTTTTGAGATGGACCCTGAAGACCAGATAAAATATGAATAGGTGAGAGGTAGGCTGAATCGGGAAACAGCAGAAATTAAGTTTGAGGATTATCCCCAAGGGGCAAGTACCTTCTGAGTCGGCTGCTTCCTCTTCTAAGGGAAGGAAGAATATGTCCCATTGCTCTTCATCTGCTTCTACTGGAAAGAGGTGTGGAGTCAGGGAAGAGATGAGGGGCTAGGAAGGGACAGGGCAAGGGCTCACCTGGGCATAAACTGGTCATGTAGAGATGTGTTTATCTTCTCATATCCTAAGGGGTTCCTGGAAGTAGGGGTGGTAGCACTGGCCAGTGTGTTGGTGATGGGGTGGCAGGTGGAAGGGATCTCTCCCCTTTGCACTGTTTAATGATGGCTGTTTTCTTCCAGGTGGCTGTGCTCCCTGATTGGGATGGTGGTAGTAGGTACCAGCTTGCTTTGTGTAAGTATAATAAGGTCTTGAGAGAGAGAGAGAGAAACCTGGACATTTAAGGACCACTTTCCTTTGAAATGAGCAGAGGGTTGACTTGACAAGGATTGTCAGAAAGACTGTTTCTGTGTAGGTAGGAATTTAGCACTGGGGGAGATGCCACCAGTCATCCCATTGAAAGGAGGTGGGGAAGGAGAGGGAGAGGGCAGTGGGGCAGCTGGAGACAGAGGTCTGAGGCATTATGGATGGGCACATGAAGGAATACATGTGGTATCTATTTCTGGGGTCTGTAAACTGGTGCGTTTTATGCCTTCATTTACTCATCTCACCCTGACAGGACCCCATAAGCCACCAGGGGAACCATTATCTGTGCTTCCATCTCTAGCACCAGGATGTTTGGTAGAGGAAGAAAGAAAGAAGGGCTCTTCCATTTCCAGGAGTCCCCTTCAAGCTCTCTGAGCCTTCATTTTCTCCTCTCCACCGTAAGGATCAGAAGCACACTTGCCTCGTAGGCTTGAAGGAGAATAAGATGGCTGTAAAGCACTGAATACAGTGCTCAAGAAAGGCTGGAGGTCCTCATCGGGAGCTCAACCTCCGTGTTCAGTTCCAGCTTTGTCACTTGCTCCTCGTGTGACTTTGAGCTCGTTACGTCACCTCCCTTTACTCAGTATCTTCACCTGCGTAAAGAGGATTCTGATAGCACCTCACAGGGTCACCCACACCAACTGCAGCCGTGTCTGGCATGCAGTGAGCCCACAGTGAATTTTAACCAGTACTAGTGATAAAATAGAAATAGCCCTTGAGGATTCACCCCTAAAATTGTTTATAGCCACTAACATCTAAATGGTATGTGAAACTTCTAAGGGGTGAGTGTGCTGGTATAGCAGGTTTGGGTGACAGATGCCCAGGGAGGGAGGTAAGGAACCAGAAAAAGAGGAAAAGAAGGCTCCTGTGAGGGATGGATGGGGAGGGCAAGAGAATGAGTTTCACAAGCTTGCTGAAGGGGCAATGCAAAGCACGCCACCTGCCCTGCTAGCTTATAGGTAATTGGTTGTTGGCATTTCTTTTTTGTCTTCTTGCTCCACTGGCTCCCAATTAGGGTTTAAGTAAAACCTCTGGATGATGTTGCAAATAGAAAAGAGAGGAAACTCCACTCAGTGAAGAGTGAGGGTGGAAGTATGTGTCTGGGTGGAGGGGGTAGAGGAAGGGGAGGAAGAAAGAGTCCATGCAGCAGAAAAGGGCCATTGTTATGGTTTCATAGAGTCAAATCTAAGGTTCACACTTGATCTTACCACTTACATTCTGTAATTCTCGATAGGACATTTAACCCAAATGGCACCAATCTAGGTTTCCTATCTTTAAACGGAAGTAAAGAATCTTTTTCATCAGGGGGTATAAGAATGCACGGAGATAATGTCTGTGGCACGTAGTGTCTGGTCGATGACGCATTTTGTAGGAAAACTCTTTGTTTTTGTGCTGCTCCCACCTGACCCAGCTGGCCTCCTGATGGACTCTTTCTCCTTTCCTGCTGCAGATTTCTCTGGCTCATAATATTTTTGGTCTCATTGGCCCCAATGCAGGGCTTGGCTTTTCCATAGGTAAGAAGTGCCCTTAAAGGAAACAAGAAGCTCCTGAATGTTGGCTTTGGGTCAGATCAGAGGGGCTATATGGAAAGGCAGAAGAAGCAGGAGAGCGGCTGGCAGGGGTATGGAGAGATGGGCTCATAACTCCTGGTAGGAATGGGTGTCAGTTATGAGGGGAGGACAGACAGCAGGCAACGCAGTGGACTAAAGTGGGGAGGAGGAGGGAGGATGCCACAAACAGGGAGGGGGACTGTGGGTAGAGGTGACTGCAGTGTCCTGCTTGCTCTGACCACAGGCATGGTGGATTCCTCTATGATGCCCATCATGGGGCACCTGGTGGACCTGCGCCATGCCCCGGTGTACGGGAGTATCTATGCCATCGCTGATGTGGCTTTTTGCATGGGCTTTGCTATAGGTATGTTGGTGGAGGGATAGGGGGGCACCAGGACCTGGTACCCCACTCTCCCTTTATCTACTGTTACCAGGTAGAAGAGGCTGATTCTCCTAGGATTCTGGAGATATTTGACCCTGGGACATCCCCTGGGTCACCTGCTGCCCCTAGCATGGTGTCCTCCCTGTGACCAAGACTCAATAAATACTTGTAGATTTGCTTTATTCCTCGCAGGGCCATCCACTGGGGGTGCCATTGTGCAAGCCATTGGCTTCCCCTGGCTCATGGTCATCATCGGGAGCATCAACATCATCTACGCTCCTCTCTGCTACTACCTGAGGAGCCCCCCAGCCAAGGAGGAGAAGCTTGTAAGGGGCTCTGACTACTGCTGAAAAAATAATAATCTTCTGTTTCTTTCCATGTCTCTCATCCCTTTTTATCCCGTGCTCTTATTTCCTCCCTCTTTGATAGGCTCTCTGCTTTGCCATGTTTTCTGATGCCCCTTTCGTCTCCCTCTTTCCTTTGTGCCCTTCCTTATTTTCCCTTCTCTACACAACCACTTTCTCTCTTACACTGGTCAGTTAGGAAGGGTCCTAAGTACAGAAGGAAAATGGGATGCTTGTAAAGTGTTGGGGTCAGGGATCATCAAAGGCATCCTATATTTGCTGTAGTTACGAGCAAAGTGTGAATTACCAAATCATGCCCACAAAATGGACAGAATTCCACTGGGCACATTCATTCTTCATTCACTCACATCTGTCATTGTCCTTACCAGGTCATTTCTTAAAGTACAAACACCCCAGGGGAGAGAACCACAGCATATGATTTTAGTTAATAAGATACTTTCCTCTTACCGCAGCACGAGCACCCTGAGGGTCTGGGTGGGTTAGGGATGGATGTGGAGGCTGCTTAAAGGAGCAAAAGAAGATGTGAAAGTCTGATGGGAGGTGGTGCCCATTTCAGCTGGCTCCCTGCTATCGCCTGTACTACTGCTGAAAGGATTCAATTAAAAGCATATCAGATGATTGTCTTGTCTAGGGTGACTACACCTTGGTCCCTTGGGTGGCCTATGCACATACATGAAGCAGAGCAAGGGTCCTTTGCTGGTTTCTTGAGTCTTTTCTGTGTAGCACTAGACTTGGATGAGCTAGTTGGGGAAGGGGATGGGGAAGCTGGTGAAGGATGCCCAGTGATTTCTCTTCCTGCCTCTTGCTGCAGTCAGTTCTGAGCCAGGACTGCCCCATGGAGACCCGGATGCACGCAGCCGAGAAGCACATGAGGGAATTTCCTCGGGGGGAGGACAGCAATGAGGAGCCTGGCTGTGAGGAGTAGCAGCAGAAACTGGTCCCTGGACCTTGTCACGTGAGGCTCAGACTTCAGTGACCGCCTCGTTCCCTGGACGCAGATCTCCACAGGCTGTTCTTCACTTCTCTCTCCCCTGGTGTCTCCTTTCCTCCCCTCCCATGCATGCTGTTTCCTGGTTCTCTCCTCACCTGTGTCACCTCTAGCTCTCCCTCTAAGCTTTGATGCCTCAGCTAGCCCACCTTTTGTGGGAGGACAGAGTGATGCTTCCTCCTCGGTTTCTGTAAGGCGGTGTGGGTTCTACGAGGGGTGACTCATTTCACGGAGGCGGCACTGAGCGGTGTTCCCTAAAACCAGTGGGGTGGCTGACAAAACTCATTTCATCTGTTAGCTGATTTTCTTTGGCACCTTCCCAACAGACTATAAGAGTTTTGTCCTCTGTTGCTCGACATGGCCCTCCCTGAGTTGAGAAAGCGTCAACCTTGTATTGCTGCCACATCGCCAGTTTGGGAAGTTTTTGCCTGGTTTTTATAAGCTGAGTGTTTTCTCTGTGGCCAAACCTACAGCTGCTGAAGTGAGTCTGCCCTCGGTGAAAGGAGGTGTCCTATTTTCCTCACTACTAAATGGAAAAGAAAAGAGCCTGCTTGTCTTAGGCTTGAGTTACTGACTTTCTCATGATTTCCCCTGTGGGTTTTGTCTACCTTTCCTTACATTTCTTAGATTCTTAGAAATAAATGTAGGAGGACAGAAAACACAGTCTATGAGCTCTAAGATTTCATGGGAACAACAGTAAAGCAACTGTCCTGGAATCCCTTCCAACTTGGGTTTCCTAACACAAAGATTCTTATGAGGCATTGTCCACGTTTGCTAATGAATAACTTGTTCCCTGATTCAGACATGGCAAGCTAGAGGCTCTTTTACAGCAAAAGAGAGTGTGTGGGCAAATACAGTAGGTACTATAAATATTTTAACATTTTTCTACCTTTTTGAAATAATTACTAAGAGATGCGGTTTCCAAGATATGGGAGACATGGCACCTACCCTTAGGTAGTTTTCCATCTATCCGGGCAAACTGGATATACATTGAATAAAAACGATCAATACTGCAAGTTTGTATATACACTTGTGTTCAAGTGTAAAGAGGCAGGGTTGCTCATGGTCTGGGTGGGGAATAATGGTGGAGATGGAGGCAGAGGCAGGAATGGAAAGACCCACAGGCACAGACTTGGGGTTCCTGGATATTAGATCGGGGTGTTCAGACTTTACTCTGGAATGGTGCCTGGGTCTGATTAGTGCACTCCTCTGCAAGAGTTTGGTGGGTTCAGTGCAAGTCCTGTATCATCAGAACACATTCAAGCTTAGCCTCAATGAATTCTTACCACTTGGACAATGGGTATCTGATTTATGGGTGTGTTTTTAGGGGGTTGGCATTAACTAGACTTACCTGCTTTGCAAAACCCGATGTATTTATATCATTTAGTCTGGATGGTATTGTCCCAGATTTTGAAGGAGCTCAAAGATAAAATTGGGAAATAATTTGTCAAAATATGTAAGCTGTGACTACAAATTTTACATTGAATGCATGTCCACTGTGACTCTTGTACAAGGTGGGAGTGGGATACAGTAGGGTGTGGAGGTGTCAGGGGCACCAACAACAGTGCTCTTTTGATTCTCATATCCACATGGAGGACAGTTTATAATTAAAGGACGGACTTGTTACAGAAATTGTTCACACATTAAAAAAAAGTAGGAAGAACTTTTTATTTTTTGCGGTACGTGGGCCTCTCACTGCTGTGGCCTTTCCCGTTGTGGAGCACAGGCTCGGGACGCACAGGCTCCGGACGCACAGGCTCAGTGGCCATGGCCCACGGGCATAGCCGCTCCGTGGCATGTGGGATCTTCGCGGACCGGGGCACGAACCCATGTCCCCTGCATCGGCAGGCGGACTCTCAACCACTGCGCCACCAGGGAAGCCCTACAAAAAAGTAGGAAGAATTTTTAAAGGAGTAATTCATCTTTAACTTGTTAGTAAACATTGAGCAATTTTTTTTTTTTTTTTTTCTGTGGTACGCGGGCCTCTCACTGTTGTGGCCTGTCCCGTTGCGGAGCACAGGCTCCAGACGCACAGGCTCAGCGGCCATGGCTCATGGGCCTAGTCGCTCCGCGGCATGTGGGATCTTCCCAGACCGGGGCACAAACCGTGTCCCCTGCATCGGCAGGCGGACTCTCAACCGCTGCGCCATCAGGGAAACCCACTGAGCAATTTAAAACATATATTTAAGGAGAAACAATGTATATAATTTATTCAGCCTTTCAAACTACTGTTGATAAGAGTCAACACCAAACACTACAAAGTAAGTCAGGACCCATTTTTTTATGATAGGTCAGAAATAGGTCATAAACGTAGACTATATATAGGAGATTATTAAAAAAGAGAATATCATAAAAATAGAAAATGAATTAGTCTTTATCAATGGTTTTACAAAAGATAAGGAATTCATGGTAAACTTCACAGGTGACCCTAAGCTCTTCTAAAAATGAAAATACCAGCCCAGCAAAAATGAGCCGCGAGTGTTTTTTTGTTTCTGTTTTTGTTTTGGGGGATTTTTGTGTTTTGTTTTTGGTTTTATTTACTGGTTTTGGTGTTTTTTTTTTGTAAAAGTGGCAGAAAGTATCAGATGGCCTCTATGTGGAATGGCTGAAGATGTGTATTTTCCCCTTATGAAAGGGAGGAGCTGCAGAGACTATAAACATTTATAGGGTATGAGGCCCCTAACTACCAATGAGATGCAACAAAGGAGACAGTGGAACTCATGAGCTGTTGTGCTCAATAGGCCAGAAAAATACTGGGAATTCTCAGAGTGTTGGAAACAAACCAGAAGACATTTTATTTCCAAAGTACAAAACCTGGGGTGGAAACAAGGCACAGGCAGTTACCACAGGCAGTAACTGTGGAGTTGGAGAAAATGCAGAGGGAGCACATGAGATGATAAATGGCTGGCAGGGAGAGTGGTGTGGAGAGAGACAGGACAATTCTTATAGGGAGGGACCCAAACCCAAGGGGATGTGAAGAAAGTAGCTAAAACCTTTAAGAAAGGCCCCATCTTGGTGTCAGCACCGAATCTCAGAACACTTCCACAAAGGGTTACTCCAAAGTCACTACAGAGCTAAGGCAAGAGTCGGTATTAAGGAATATTAACTCCCACTGTGTTGTCTTACTTATGGAGTATCATTACTCCAAGATATAGCCCAAACTGAAATAAAATAAGTTTTCTAACAATATTTGACCCTATACCTGGAGGCAGCTCTGTAATGCTTGTGTAAGTCTGTCCTCCGAGGTTGACATGAAGAAAGGGCAATGTAGTCCTTCCACACAGCATGCCTGGGTGGCCCTGGATGTGATGCGGCTGAGTCTCTCTTTGTCATCTCTAATACCTGTTTGTCCTCTACCTGTAGACTGAGCTTCATGGGTGATGCACCAAGGTCACTGTGTCACACAACTTAGTCCTACTGAGTGCACCCCTACAATCCTGTCTAAGGCAGAAAAACTTTCTCTGGAGCAAGGGAGGATTGGAGCAAGGTGGCTTTGGCACACAGCACTCTCCCCCCTTGCTGTGAGGGAGGAATGCTGAGGTCATAAGGTGATAGAAGGAGGACCAAATCAAGAGTAAACAGAACTAATCCTAGTCTAGCTCTGCCACTGACCAGCTGTGTGTCCTGGGGCAGGTCATTTCACACCTCTGGGCTTTAGCCTCACCCCATGTAGATCAGATCTGGCTTTCTGTGGATCCATCCTGCCGCTGGCTTGTTTTGGGGCCACCTTCAGTGGGTGCCAGGGGCAGAGCCTGTGTGAAGAGCCTAAGGCAAAGATGAGACATCCAGCCAGTGCTTCAGCGCACCTCAGAAATACAAATGTGACTTGAGGCTTGATTTCCTGTATTCAGGAAGTTATTGGAAATAAAATATGCACCTTCTTCTGCCTCCTTCTCCTTCTCCCCCTCCCCCTCCCCTCCCCCCTTTTTCCTCTTTGTTCTTCTTCTTCTGGAGGGTGAAGAGTACAGTGTAAGCAGAGGCAAGAGGCCTGATCAAGGTCTGTTTGCATTTGTCCTCCAAACTGAGTCAGCATACAGTCTTCTGAAGTCACAGGGGAGGAAACTGAGGTTGTTTGGCCGAATCTTGCTTGTTTTGGTTCCTCAGACTCTTAGCCCAGGCCAGTAACTGACAGCTATTCATAAAGGGAGAATTGCAGGGTCCTGGGTGTGCTGAGGGGCAGCCAGACAGGGTGGATACCACAACTGGTTGTTGAGCAAATCTTCATGGGAAAGCAAGAAGCTCTGTGTGTACAAGTGTAGTGCAATATAGCAACATGACAATGTGCAGGTGGCCTGGTGCGCACCCTAGTTCTACCATGGAATCACGGGGTATCAGGGATCTGGGGACAGGGCAGCAGTAATACAGAGCAAAGCAGGTGGCAGAACTCCTCTACGTATTAGCAATGTGGCAATGAAAACGTCCTTATTTGTAAAGTGGAAAAATAGCAATACTTTAGTAACAGGGTTGTGATGAAGATTAAATGAGATAATAATAAATGAACTAAGAATACGCTTTATAAATCATAAAGTCCTATCCAAGTGCTACTTTCTGTTATCAGTTAGTCCAGCTCTCTTATCTCACAGAAGAGGAAACAGGTCCAACAAAGGAAAGTGAGCTTCCTAAGGTCGTACACTAGAATGGAGCACAGTCTACATACAAATTCCTTATCAGATATATGATTTGCACCTATTTTCTCCCATTCTGTGGTTTGTCTTTTCACTCTCTTGATGTATCCTTTGGAGCACAAATGCTTATAGTTTTGAAATCCATGTATCTATTTTTAATTTGTTGCTTGTGCTTTGTCATCATAGCTAAGAAACCATTGTCTATGCCATGGTCATGAAGATTTATACCTATGTTTTCTTCTAATAGTTTTTAGGTTTATAGCTTATATTTAGATCTTTGATCTATTTTGAGTTAGTTTCTGTATGTGGTGT